CAGTGAAATTTCCACCTGTAGGTAGTATACATAGCGCTCCGAAACCCCGTCTGGCACGAAGAGCGCTATATAAATGCAAGTTGTTGTTATTATATGTGGAACTCTCTGTCTGCATGGCTGTGGGTTTCAAATGTGTCAGACACCTGTTTTGCTGTAAAATATGGACAGGAGATGCAATACATGACTGCGTTAATGTGCCTTCTCTAAATAAAGCTATCTATTGACAGTGAAGGAAAGAGAACATGTCCAAGTCAGCATATTTGCCTCTTTTAAAATCCCTAATTAATAGATTTTACAGGTGCCGCAGCCATCATCAAGGACAGGAAAAGCACGTTCAAAATCCAAAGTGCAAAGTCATCACTTTCCTCGGTTTGCAGCGGCTTCAAGTTCTCTCCAGGAAAAACAAAACTGGTGCTTTGTGTATTGTTTGAGACACTAGACAACAACCCTCATTCAGTTTACAACAACTATTTACATTTCTATAGTGCCTCTCACGGTGGAAGGACATCTTAAAGCTCTTTGCACTGCTGAATAGGAGACTGAGGTGGGGTGGGAGGGGAGGGGTGGGGGAAGAGACGGATGAGTGTGGTTCAAAAGGCAGGTCTGCAGGCTTTAACGGTGGGAGGAAAGGTGGGGAGGGGGGAGAGAGAGAGGTGGATTGGTGTTCCAAATAGCTGATAGTGGGCACATCTGGAGGCGGACATGAACCATTTCAATCATTGAAGGTATTTGCCTTCTGAAGGTCAACATGAATTCTGCCTCAATCACTCCTGTCGATAGGGCATTCCATACTCTAATTACTCTGTGTGTGAACATATTTCTCCTAACCTTCCCATTTGCTTGTTTACAAACTAATCTTAAATTGATGCCATCTAATTACCAACTCCCCAACCAGTAGAAATAATTTCTCCGTATTGACTCTCAAAATCCCTGATAATATTAAAGACCTCTATCAGGCTACCCTTCAACTCTTTATTACAGCAGAAAAAATTCCAGTTTCTCCAGTCTTTGCTCAAAAACCAAACCACTTATCCTCGGTATCATTCTAGTAAGCCTCCATTCCAATCACATTTAAATGCTGCGAGATTTCATTCCTATCTGAACTATCTAAATAAAAGGGAACAAAGCAGGTGAATATACTGTAAGGTTATTGAGTATCAAAGCACAGGTCATCAACAACTCTTCCTATAATCTTCACTTTACACTGAAAGACAGTAAAGCAAGCGGACTGCCTCTCACAGGAAATTATAAGTTATCTTGTCTAAACTATGCATTTTTCTATGACGACTGACTTTGACCACCTCAATACTTCTGATTTCACCACTAAATTATAGGCTGACACAATATTTGATTATAGTCAGTTGCCATGAATAGGCCCCTTTCCCCCCCAGCTCTATCCTTGATGTTTCTCAGTAAGCTTAGAAAGAAGCTTTTTGGCTAATGGATAGATCTGTGTTGTAACAAGTCTGTGAAATCCAACATGGGGAAAGAATGCTGAAGAGTAGCACTGTAAAATAGTAAGGGGCCTGTTTTACCCTGTCATCCTAGGGACAAGCTGAGATTTGGAATTTTTAAAGAAGTTTGTTGCTTCTGTTAGAAGCAGCATCAGCAGTTCTCCCAGGTAGATTACCCCAAGGGGGTGGAGGGGGAGGATTATGATAGATATGCATTTGGGAAATAAAACATTTAAAGCAACGCGCCAACAGAGAACATGCTTGCATTACATGGTAGCACTTTAAGATAAACAATACTCAACATGACAGCGCTGATAACCTGGTGCTCTTGTGTATTTTAAATCTAGAAGTAAGTCACTTGTAAATAGCACTTGTAGGAAAGGCATGGGTGGAAGAAACAATAAAAGTACTGTATTGGGACATGTTTTCAAGGAGGAACAAAGCTTTCTCTTGTGATCAGAACTAGATTATTGCTTAAACTATTGTTTTAGTTCAGTTCAAAATGCTTATGTTAGTTTGCTAGTGCTATGTGGACCTGTAGAATGACAATTTTGATTCTAAATTGGTTGTTTTGATTGGATGAAGGTTTCTTAACCTTGTAAGTCTCTTTGACCGAGCCTTCAGCTCCCCTCTCGACTCTCTTCCCCCTTCTCGCTCCCTCCCATCCCTCCCCTCACACTGACCATTTCCCCCTTCCTCGCTCCCTCCCCTCACCCTGACCATTTCCCCCCTGCTCGGGTCATGACCCAACTGTGCAGCGCCTTGGGACGTCCTCCTGACGTGAAAGGCGCTTTATAAATGGAATCTTGTTGTTGTTGTTGTAAGTCAGTATTGAAATGATTATAAGTCTAATTAAATGGAGCTGAATTGATATCTAAATGTAACATATGTTACGGGTTATTTGGTATAACTCTAGACAAATGTTATGAGAACATGTCAGTATGTTGTGCCTTGAAGAGTTAAATTGTTCAGCAGAAAGAAGTGTGCTTACCACGGATGCAGCTCTCTTGTTAATTTGGTAACAGTCCTGATTTCTTTTAATCAGAATCAGCTCATGGTACCCAAAACCAACGGCGGTCCCAGCTTGTTTATTACAAATATGAAGTAGATGAGTACGTGCAGATTTGCATAGATTATCCTGATGTTAAAAAAAGGACAATGATAAAAGAGGTGGTCATTCCTGGTATTCGCTCCAAGCTGGTGGGAGCGAGTACATCTTTCACTTCTCTCGCTCTGTGGCTCAAGCCACTTACTCGACCTCAACCGTTCAAGGTTCCAATAATTCTCGCAAAATCAAACAAAGCAACTGAGAAGAACAGATTGCAGTGATGCAATGATACAGCAGCAACACAACTGCTAGAGTCTCACAGACTCAACTTTGGTTCTTTAATTCAACTTCCGCTATGACCAGCATTTCAAAGACAAGAGAAACAAAAAGCAAAAGATGTTCGCCTACTGCTTTTGAACTTTAATGTTGTCATTACAGTGACATTGCTACACATCAGCATAACAGCCAATATATTGTCTGTCGTAGCCCTGCCTACTGTAACTGCTTATTGAACCAATGCAAAATTATACATCTTTCTGCCTTGTTAAGTAAACAAGCTTTAAAATATAAAAAACAAGTGACTTTCATTCCTCTGTTTCACTGATTCCTAATTTAAAATTGGGCTAAACAGAATAATCTGGCCTTTCCTCGCTAGACCTTTTGTCCCAGGCTTCAATAGAGAGGTAAACTTCATTACTGGATGTACCTTCAAACCCAACACTTTTCAGCCTCTGATTGAGCCTCTCTGTGCCACTTCTCTCTATACATTTGAGGTGTGCTGAATTCAATAACCCAAACTATTAGTTACTTGGGAACATTTTACAAGGTGGTAATCTCATTCAAGGATTTAACATGATGTCAAAAACCACAAGAGGATATTTGAAAGCTTTATTATTCTCCTCTGAACCCTGAGGGTAGATTTCTGTTTTATACATGCACCATTTCAAATTATTTTAAGGTTCTCGCTGGGTATTTGGTCAAGTTTTGTTTTGCACCCACTAGTCATTCAGCAACCATCAACGCACTGCTTGTCCTGTGATTAACAATGGCGCCCCTTTATTGCATGTTTATCGCAATAGAATCAGTGGATCTTCCCAGAACTGACCACTGACTGGCTGGCATCGAATGATTCACATAAAGAGGTGAACTATGAAAGCAAAGTTTCAGGCATCTGTCAATATCCGAACCAGTGTTCGGCTCACAATCTCCCATTATTTTTCAGGATCTGTTTGACAATCGATGATAATATTGTGAGAATGCAGAATACATAGCAGGAGAGGTGCCATCATTAATCTAAGGTGTCCTATTGATTCTGTCATTGGAACTGTATATAATTCATTCAGCTCCCTCACACAGTGATAGACTTCCAGACAGTAACTCTGCAGCCACTTCATTGAGTTAACCCACCAGGAATCTACTCAGCATTAAACCAAACATATTCAACTTAAAACAAGGATGTTGACCCTCAAGGCAGATGGGTTTACTCAACCAGCACGATCACTCAGGGGGAATGTGAGTCTTGATGAATCTATTCATTTGTGGCTCCCACTTCCTGGTTTGGTGTGTGAAAGAAGCACATCAGGGATTGACCTGGTCACTTTTGAGATCTTCAGTGTTTGACCCCTTTCTTCGCTGCGAGGCTGTTGCCCCCACTTTCAAAATTATTGCAATTGGGTGTCAAACCCTGCTCACATCCGCAGAAAGTTATTACGAGTGACATGCACAATGGACATTGCAAACACACTCCATGCAATGTACTGGGACAGAGGAAAAAGAAAAAATACATTACCTCACACACAACTAGACAGGTTAAATCACAATGGGCATGTTTCAAACAAATACAGTACTAGGTGGGAAGGGTTGGCTTAAATTCAAAGATTTGATTTGTATATAACTGGATTTGAAATGATCTGTAATATTGATTCTTCCACTTCCCTCTAGAAAGAAAATTAAGTGAATTGCAAGAAAAAATCAATTTTAAATAACAATTTTATCGGTACAGAGAGGAATAAAAGGTATACAATCATACATCATGTCCTCTGTCGATATGCCTCAGCAGTTACACGGTCCATCTGTCATTGATATCTCATTTATAGTGGCAAATGGGTCACAAACAAATGCATGACTTTGTTCCAGTTAGCCACTATAAAACCATATCACCACAAGTAAATCGGACACGCACAGAACCCACTATAAAGTCTCCGTACAGGACGCAATGCGTGAACACAAAAGACATCTATCCTGACTGTCAATGAACACAGTGAAATCTTATTTTAACACCTGCCTCTTTCACACGGAATTAAGACGGGTAAATAGTGAAGGATTATTTCCCCTGGAAATCAGCAACAAAAAGGGCATCAATTTCAATGACTATAAATACAAAGTTTGGAAGATCTTATCTTTACGATATTATTATGATGCAGGCACTGTCGCACAAAGTCACTGAAGCCAAGTCAATTTCTACATTTTTGAAGGGATTTCAAGGCAAATGTTAATAACTATGCTAGAAAAAGACATGTGGGAAAAAGTGCAGGGAAAAAGAACTGGAGTGGATAGTTCTGGCAGGGAATCTAACACAGCATAATTGTCTTCTAAGTTAAAATATGTATAATTTTATAGTAAGGTTAACCCTTTCCTAATAAACTTGGAATCAGTTGTTGTCAGGCATTGGCTTAGAATCAATATATACTGTGAAGCAAACAGCCTTAGAAGTTGTACTTCACTATCCCATAAAGCACTTTACTTCCTCATTGTTTCAGATTGCGACCGAATGGAAATTCAATTATCTATATTAACTTTTCTTTTTAAATACGATCCCACTTGCACTTTAGCACCTGCTGCGTTGCTGTTTATAAACTAAAACTGTGTGGTCGCTACAGCTTCTGACAAGTGGTCATGAAGAAGATTGTGCAAAGACATCTTCAATTTTAGGACGGCCCCAGGGATGGCTTAATCACAACTAGCTTGGCATCTCCACTGAGAATACACAGGTGGCTTAGTCAGTGATAAATCTTTTTTTTCCCTTTTAACACTGAATCCATCAAATTCACATTAATCTCTTTACAGTTCTTGCTCCATCTTTAGCCCAGATTGTCAGCAGGAACATCAGAGAATTTGCCAGCCAAATTAATCATGATTTAAGCAATGCTTCATCTTCAAGATATGTAAAATATGATGAAAGTCCCTGGCAAAATGCTGGTGTCTGACGTTGCATATTGATTTTATGCAATTACTGTACTCAAGGACATGACATCTGGGAGGAGAGAAGAAACTTCCCTCTGTGACGGTTGAGAGAAAGACAGAGAGAGAGAGAGCGAGAGAGAGAATATTGCTAATGTACTTGGAATTCCAAAGAAGCTTCAGAACTCACCATTTTCACTGTCCGACTTGTTGTTTTCGTGCTCTGTGTCAGTCAGCGTGAGGGCTGAGTTGGAACGGCTTGACAGGCAGGAGCTGCGAGCGGATTTGACCCCCCTGCCCCACAGCCTCATGGCGTGCTCCGGGGACATCACTCCTTCATTTTCTGTGTCGGCGTCCGACCCTGTGTTCACTGAGTAGCCTCGGTGGGGGAGACCCATCTCTGCACAGAACGCTAACCCTCGGCGAGTGGCAGGCTCACAGATTCCCAATTCCCTCAGGGAAAAATTTGCCGCTGTTGTGGGAATAATAGTGGAAGTGAGCTTTTTTTAAAAAATTCTTTTTTTTAAAAAACCCAAGCTAAAACAAATAAACATAGAGAGAGGTTTTCGAATGAGCCTTGGTATCAGAGAGGTGTCTGGTTAAGCTCTCAATGTGAGGCGATCAAGTCTTTTCTTTTGTCTGCTACACTCCCTGGCACTCTCACACACATTCCAGCACCTTCCAACACTTTGTCATCTCAAGCTTCTTGTCACCTACATTCAGGTGTTAAAGAAAAACAAAACTGGCAGGTAAAGGAGGAGGCGAGGCTGGGATAATGCCTCATTGAGATCTTAGGAACAATGAAGTGGGGAGCCTAGTGGGTATGGAATGGGTGAAAGTTGATAGCATCCTTTTGTCCCAGCTTCCCAAAGGTTGACCGTTAAATCAACAGCTTATATCCTTACCTAGCAGGCATTCAGCAGGACAGGAGGTGAGGGGGACGTGGGGGGGCGAGAGCCTGGAGGACAACTGCATGCCAATCACTAACATCAGCAAACTTTTCTTCATATGTTTATACTGTGATAAATATATAATGAAAAGATTGTTAATATTTAATCCTTCCATTTGATGTAGCACCTTATCGTAGAGACGTCACAAAGAACTTCATAGGATTTTACTGTAAACTGTAATGACTTTGTGTTTTACAGACGAAAGCAGCAGGCAGTTTGTGCACAGCAATGTCCCATACACAGCCATAAAGAATGACCAATTTCATCTGGGCGATTGTTAGCCAGGACACAGGGTGAAACTCCTTTCTGTTTTTGAATATAGCCATGGAATCTTTAACATCCACCTGAACAAGCAGACAGGATCTCGGTTTAATATCTCATCCGAATGATGGCACCTCCTGCAGTGCAGCGCTCTCTCCAGCCCTGCATTGTCAGTGTCAGCCAGACCGTGAGTTCAAAGTCTCCAAGTGGGACTTGAACCTAAAACCTTCTGACTCAGTGCCACCAACTGAGCCAGGCTGACAACTGGAAAGGTGGCTAATTTAAGGTATCTCTGAATGGGATTCCTTAATAAGGAAACCATGTTGATGGGTCAATGGAAACTCTAATGGCATCACTTATTAAGGAATTCCATTAAGAAATATCGCAAATTAAACCCCTAGGAGTGTTAGCAATCATCTTCCAAACCATTCAACTAAAAGTTTTTCCCACTTTCGTTCTCGTCCATTATTGTTATTTCTAAGTAACTAAGTTTGTCAGCTGCTGCTCATGTTTTGGGTTTTAAGCTACTCTTTCACAGCTCCATTCAATGTGCAGAGCTGTTGTTAAAAAAGTACAGTATACTGTCTCCACTCATGTGTCTACAAGGACATTTACAGGAATGAGATAGTTTTCTCAGCATTTCACAGAATATCTGTAAAGTGGATTGACTGTGGGCAAAACATGGCAGCCGATTGCACACAACAGTCTCCCCCAAACAGTTGTGGATTGAGTGACCAAATTAAAAAAAGGATTTTGAGGGATTATTACCCCCGGAAAAGCGATCCGCCAACCAACTAACAACTGGGTTCTTACTTACTGCTAGGTAAACAAAGGTGTCTGAAGTAAGGAAACTTACCCAACCTTTCGTCCTAAATGCTCATTGTTCCTACAAATGGATTTAACAAAGTTTTCATGGTATTATCCAAGAGAACCAGGATAGTGAAGGGACTCCAGGGAGAAGAGATTGAATTTATTAATTGTACTCTTGCCCTTTTAAAGTTCCCCAAACAAAAACAATGCTGAAGAGAACTTTGTCCCAGTAGAATTTTGGCTTTTTTGACGTTAATAATAATAATAATCCTTGCATTTGATATAGCGCTTTTCACGTCGGGAGGACGTCCCAAAGCGCTTCACAGAACACACTGTAAAGTGAATTGACTGTATATTTGTGGGCGAAAGCGGCAGCCAATTGCGCACAGCAATGTCCCACAAACAGTCGTAGATTGAAAATGACCAATTTATTATTGTTTTTTGTTTTTGGAGGGATTATTATTAGGCGTGAGGAGTAAGGAAACTTGCCCAAGGTTTCGCCCTGCCTGGAATTGAACTCAGGTCTCTCGCTTGCAAAGCGAGTGCTCTAACCACTGAGCTACAGGACTCCACAATCAGTTAATCAGTTTGTTGCTTCAGTGTCAGCCTCGCTCAATGGTAGCACTCTTTACTCTTGAGTCAGAAGATTCTGGGTTCAAGCCACACATGGGGATTTTGATTTCACAGTCTAGGCTGACACTACAATGCAGTGCTGGGGTTACACTGCATATTCAGAGGTGCCATCCTTTGGATTAAATGTTAACTGAAGTTTTGTCTGCCTAGTTAGGTGGATGCTAAATATCCCACAGTGCTATTCGCAAAGATACGAGTTGCTCCTGGTAAGAATCCCCAGATTGTATAATTCATGACTATTTGTGGGACATTGCCGGGGGTAAATTGGCTGTTGCCTTCACTTAATAAATACAGTCACTACACTTTATAATAAATCCTGTGGAAACGCTTTGAGATATCCTCCTGAGGTGAAAGATTCTTTATCAAATGCAATGATTATTTTAACCCTACACACAGTCAAATGGATTTGGAATCTGAATGTTGAATTAAATCTGACTCATAAATTTTGAAAATGAACTGCTATAATTAACTGAAATCAAAGATTGGCTGTTACAGATTTGCAGCAAAGGAATACCTTAACTGATTGCTTGGGAAACCTAGTGAAGGGAAACAAACAGAAAACAGCTAAATCCAGTACCAGCCTCCAGTGCGTTAAAGCTTCCCCAACAACTGCACTGCCCACTTCAACTCTTAACGTGATTTTTTTTTCCTTTTCCATTTGTTGCTGTTCTGCAAAGTTATTGCAGTGAGTCTCCATTATCTTTTTCCATGGGTTTTACTGCTTACCCAATAGGTATCAAAATATACTGTACCTTTCAAAGTGGACAGCTGTGGAAATTGTATTATATAATAATAATCCTCGCATTTGTTATAGCATCTCATCATGCTATCAAGACGTCTCAATACACTACGCAAGATTTCCGATAATGTGTAGAGTCTATGTATACATAGGCAAACACAAAAGCTGATTTGTGCACAGCAATGTCCCAGAAATAGCCATAAAGTGAATGACTAATTTTTATTTGGGGGAATTATTGGCCAGGACACAACTCCCTACCTTTCTTGAATGGTGCTATGGGTTCTTTAACGTCTACCTGGACAGGCAGACGGGACCTCCATTTAACATCTCATCCGAAGAATGGCATCTCCAACAATGAAGTGTTTCCCCAGTGCTGCACTTGAATGTAAGCATAAATTTTAAGCTTGATGTCCCCACGTGGGTCTTTAACCCAGAACCAACTGATTCAGAAGCAAGAGTGCTATCAACTGAATCAGACTGACACCTTAAAGTTGTAGAACTTTCTTTACAGAGTGTGAGCTGTTGGTTGGTTGTCTTGTAAGTCATTTCACCAATTTGTAAACAGGACCGCTCACAATACCACAACATGCGCATGAATGATCACATCTGGCCCAGCACATTTAAATAAATGTTTAAAACATAATGCATTCATTTATCCTGCCTGTTTCACAAACTTAGCTTCACTAAGTCTGAACAGTCATTGGTCCAATGCCCTTTCATTTTAATGATCTGGGAATCACAAACAGCAGTCTTGATATTATGTTTCAGACTTCAAAACGTATCTCTGTGGCATCAAACCTGTTTTACTTAGATCTGCTAACTCAGCATAGACCTTGGATCTTCCTGATCCATATGGCTGAGAGCCCACCACACATTGTGTTTACGCAGCAATCCACAAGAGGCCAGTATTCATGTGCATTTCCAAAAGTTTTGATGTCTTCAAGGTATTTTCCTGCCGGCTTTATGATGCTAAAAGTTTTTATTTGTTATTTTCTTGTTAAAGTCTCACTATAGTCATTATGCTATGGTTATCTTGTCATGGTGAAGTAAAGCAGATTGATGAAGAAAATGCAATCTCTGTCATATTTACATGTCCTAAATGTATTATTATTAATAATAATAATCCTTCCATTTGGTATAGTGCCTTATCACGCTGGAAGAACGTCTCAAAGCGCTTCATAGAATTTACTATGAAATGGAGTGACTGTGTATTTGTAGGCAAGTGCAGCAGCCCAGCTGCTCACAAACAGTGTCCCAATGTCATCCAAAGGACGGCACCTCCAACAATGCAGCACAACCCCAGCACTACACTGGACTATCAGTTTAAACTATACAAGATCAAGTCCCAACATGGGTCTTGAACCCACAACCTTCTGCCTCAGAGGCGAGAGTACTACCAATGAGCAACTTGTTCAAAAAGGCACCAACTGCAAAACATCTTCCATGGTATTCAGTCTTCAGACAATGCTCTTAAAATCGAAGACCACGCAAAGCTTTTGGGAGAGAAAATTTTTTTTAGATTTCGTCTTAATTTTTTTAAGATGTTTTTCTGAAAAAACGGAATCTGGCTTCCAAATTAAGACTGAATTTATGAGGTTTGCAAAATTCTGTACCATCTACAATTTTAAGGCTAAAGACATGAAATATTTTGGGCCTCATCCATCCTCAGTGACTGTGGATGTTTATTTTCTTGCAGAAACTCAGAGGACAAAACTACACGGGAGCTGGATGTCAGCTGGGAGAACTAACCACTCCTCCCACCACATTTTGATGTTATCTTACAATCCATGTTACCAACATTGGTTTGAATGAGGAGCATGGCGAGGATTTCCCCACTGTTTGCGATGCTCGCTGGTGCGTCCAAAGCAAAACAGTTCCTCTGGGAGCTCTTAGCAGTGAGCTTGGGGGCAGCAATCCACTCATCTCACTGTTCTTGATTTGTTTATTTAATTTTATAAACAAAAGGCTTGACTAATTCCGCTGTGTGCTTTCAAGTTTTGCTGTTTAAATATTTGAAGCCTTTGGAGACTAGAATCAGCTAGAATGTCATTTATTGTCAGTATGAAACCCTTTCGTTTC